AAGAAGCAGGAAATGCCTGGAGCTAGTGGTCATGGGTAGGCAGGCGGGACCTTAGGTAAGCGGGCCTTCCGGGGGCATACAGAGCAGACTGCTACCGGGCAGAGTCTGATGGGGCTTTTTAAAAAATTTTTCTTGCAGAGTTTATTAACAACAGGCTGGGGGTTAAATGCATAATTTAGTGCTGAATGTGGGCTTAGGTCTAGTATGCAGAGGCGAGTGCGGAGAAACCGTGTGGCAAGGCCAGATAATAAGCTCAGGCAATGACGTAGTTATCAGACGCGGAGAGAGATGGATGAGTCTGTTTAACCCTCTGCAAGGCAGCCGGCCTTACACTATTCATCTATCTACCTACCTACCTACCTATTCATTCATCCACGCATCCAACCATCCAGCCACCCATCCATCCACCACCCATCTATCCACCCACTTATCCATTTATCCATCAACCCATCCATCCATCCATCCATCCATCCACCCATCCATCCATCCATCTATCCATCCATCCATTCATCAATCTACACACCTACCCATTTGTTAATCCTTCAACAAATATCAACTGAGCATCTATGATGAATGAGTAGGGTACTAAGAATACAATGTTGTGCTGAAACAACCCTCATAGTACTTCCAGTCTCCTGAAGAGAGGAGCTAATAAAACACTTCAGTGTAAATGATTCAAGTGCTAAGAAGGAGCCCTGGAGGTACCATGAGAACCAATGGCAGGCAAATCTGACCTGGCCAAGGAGGCTAGGAGGGGTTCCCTGGGGAGGCTGCTTCAAGGGGAGGAGGAGTAGAAAGTCCCTCTTCTTTCTCTATCACAGCCCTGAATATAGGTGGGTCTGGCAGACACTGCTGGTTGCTTCTCCAACACCCACTTCTCCCTTCATTTTTGTCCACAGAATCCAGTTTTGTTAGGTATCAGGCATCTAGCCCCAGGCGGTGAGGAGGTATCAGTCCGAGCTAACCATGGTGAGCTCACTTGCCTTTTGCCTGTGGTTGGTTTAGAAATGTTCTTGCCATCAAGGCCTAGCAGAAGTCTTCAAGATTTCGGTTGTCAGCTTGGATGACAACATTTTGCAGTTGACATACTTAGGGTCTTGCACAAGAACCAAGTAACCTCATCACTTGAGAGAGACAGAGTAGATGGGTGGTTTCTGGAGCTGGTCCTGTCATTCACCAGCCACATTAAATTTGGAATGTCTTTTCCTCATTCTGAGCATGAGTTTCTTTTAATATAAAGTTCAAGTGGGTCACATGTGCCCAGCTTTCCTCTGTCAACTGTTGTGAGGATGAAATAAATGATATTTTTGTACAAGTGTGCCACATGGCTGCAAAGTGCTATCAAAGTGTGAACCACTGTTATTGGCAAGGTGTGATAAATGCTAGACCATCATCTTGCTTCATTCAAAGCATCTGGGCTCTTTATCTAGCAACATAATTGCAGTTGGGGTTACAACTCTCCTTGGAACCCTCCAGGTTCCTCAGGTTCTCTGAGTGGAGGCCTAATTTCAGATGTAGAAGATGCTCCTCTTTCTTGAAATGGCTTTTGACTTGGAAACTCACTGCTCCAGGTGGGCTCTGGGAGACTGCCTGGCTCCCTGTGTCACCAGGGTGGAGACTTCCCAGAGGCTCCCATTTCTAAGTGAAACTCTGAGTCCCTCTTGCCTCAGGATTCAGGATAGGATCTTTTGCTTCATCAGAAGCCCACAGAACTCAGAGGCCATTCAATGAAGGACATGGGCGACAAAGCCAACCCCAGTGGCTCCTTTCTTGCCATTTGTTAACATAAAGAGCTTTGGGTGGGGCAGGTGTGTGTTTGCTCAGGGCTGGGCCTAGGCTTTGGCTCCCTTTCCTTTTGGAATTTGGTTCCTTCTACTTTTCTCTATCCCTGCCCACAGAGCTGGTGATGTCGGGTTGCATCTCTTTTCCAGAACTCTCTGCTGGAAGTACCAACCTCCAGCTCAAGGCATGCTGTTCAGAAGAACTTTCTATGGAAATGTCCAGTGGATGTCCTTTGCCCAATGGTAGCCACAAGCCATGTGAGGCTGGCAAGCATTTGAAATGTACCTAGTGTGATGGAGGAATGGAATTTTTAATACTATTTAATTTCAATTAATGTATATTTAAATTGCTACAAGTAGCTAGTGGCTTGTGTATCAGAGAGTATAGGTCTAGAGCTCAGTATCCCAATCACTCCAGTCTCTCCATTGCAATAAAAATGAATCTGTCCTGTGTCCCAATCCCAAGGCCCTCTTCTTAGAGAAGCACCAGCAAGACAATCTCATAAACAAATTGCTATCCACAAATTAAAGTCTTACTCCCTTAGGTACATGTGCAGGTTTTGAGTAATGTCACAATTTAGTCAAAGCAGAGGTTCAAATGATAGGAATCTGAGAAACTCTAACAGGTAAGTGGTGGGGAAAAGAGGATGAGTATAGAGCTTTAAATGAACTTCAAAGCATACCCTATGGGTGGGCACATCCTCCCCAGTACCCTGGGCTGCTTCTAAGCTCCTCCTAGCCTCTTGAAATCTGGAGAGAGTTAAAGGCAGACATGTGTGGATGGGAGCCTGGGAAAGGGCTGGAGGTGGCAGGGTTGGAATGGGCAGAGCCTGAGGGATGTCTGAGCTCTTGCAAAAGTATCTGGCATGCCAGGCAGAGAGACAGTTTGTTCCACCCTGGGTGGGTATGGGGCCCAAGGAAGTGATTGTTAGGGATTGATCATTACCACTGGGACAGGATTGGAAAGTTAATAGTTAAGTTAAAGAGACCAGACATCAGATCAAAGGCTGCAAATAGACTGTGGCACTTTGGGTTGAGTCTTGGACAGGAATTGCAATTCTACTCTTAATTTTTAATCCCCTCTTTTAAGGAGGTTTTTTTCCCCCCTGGAATTCTTTTATGAATATTGCTTTCTGGATGTTCTTGTCACCCTGAAACTGAGCTGTGTTTTTGTTTCTCTTGGATGACCATGTAACTGCTTTCAAGTTCCTTTCTGTGTTTTCACAGATATCCACTGGAATCAGAAGTATCTTTGTAATCCAAACACCAGGTTGGGTAAAGGGTAGAAAATAATGGAGGCTGGATGTAGGGACCAGGGGGAGATCAACCAGAGGAATACAAGGTCCTGGAGGGGCACTTAAAGACGAGTAGGAAGTGTCTGTACAAACCCTACGGCTTTGGGAGTTCCTTTTAGGGCCTTGGTTTGCCAATGGATACCACAGGTAAATCTGCTACCACCACCTTATCTACTCTATACTATTTGATTAACTTTTTAAAAAAAGGATTTCTGGTTCAGCCACTGTTTAGAATGGTGACCCACTTGCCGTAAAAAGTTAAAATTATATAAAGTGAAGTGGAGACTATGTCTCAAATATTTTGTGCAAAAATGTTGCCTATGAATACATGTCTATGAATAATGAATACACATATAAATACAAAGTAGTAGCCAAATTTCCCCAGAGCTTTGCAACACAGCTCTGTCTACTGGTGCTTCCTGATCCCTTCAAACTCTTAAAGGAAAGGGGCACTCAGGATTCAGCATTGCCCTGTTCTCCCTCATGTGCTTTCCTTCCAGCAAATAGCATGAGGGATTTGGCATCAAGGGGTAGAAGCCAAGACTGGAGAAAGCAACTCAGAGAAGTCTGAATGGGTCGATTCAGCACTTCCAATATTACCAGGTGCTCCTGAGCAGGGCTATTATGCTATGGGTGCTCTTGTACCTAGAACATTTTGATGACTGATGACATTCCTGCAAGTATTTGCTAATTTTATTCTGAACACTATAAATTTCAGTCAGTTTGCATGAAAAACAAAAGTTGCTGCTGGGCTGAGGCAACTTAGAGCAGTGGATCTTGGTAGGGACAATTTTGTCCTCTCCCGGAGGATATTTGGCAAAGCCTGGAAACATTATTTTACTGTTACTTGTGTTGGGGGGAGTTTTGTCCTCCTGGGACCTATGTGAAGACAACAGTAGTTGTTAGTGCTGGGTGGGGTGGTGTCCTCCTGGTCTTTAGTGGGAGACACCAGGAATGCTGTGAAGCATCGTACGATGCACAGAGCAGCCCCACAACCCAGAGTGATCCGACCCAGAATGTCCACAGTGTTGTTGGAGAAACCCTGGTCCAGAGGGAAAGTTCAGGCTCAGTTCTTGACACCAAGGCAGCATGATGGCTCTCAGGGAGCTATCACGTTTCAATGTTTCAACCCTTAGATGGTCCCACGAAATCCCAGGAAAATTTTGCCTAGAATTTTCTTCAACCAATAACCTCTCCAGTTCCCTATCTTCCTGGTTCCCTCACTTTCTCTGAAATTGAGAGTGCAGCCTCAAAGTCATACATGTGGAGCTCATCTCAGTGGGTCCAGATCCCATTTGACTGTAGTATAGACAGAGGCAAGTCGGGGGGGGGGCTTGGTTTTTCCATCTGTAAAATCGAGTCATGATACTTCATGATCTATTTGCTGGGTAGTCCTGGCAGCCTAGGGTTTCCTTGCCACTGGTAGATGGGGGAAGATCCGGAGCCTCTCATACATGAGTCCTGCCATGAGGGCTGGGAGGAAGAAGACACAGCAGTGACATTACGGGGTCCAGAAAGCTGTGGCAAGAATTTATGTAGAGTTGCTTAGGAAAATAAAAGCAACACAGTCTCTGATAATAAAAGAAGTAACACAGTCACTGTCGATAATCTCTCAACTACAGAACACTACAAGGAGAAAATAAAAATCTCTCATGATTGTACCACTAGGAGATATCAGCTATTAAAAGCTTTGGTATTTTTTGAGAAAAACAGAGAAAATGATGAACATCAGGTTTTCTGAGCTGCACAGGCTGGGGAGATTGAAACAGTCTTTGAAGACAGCACAATGTGCCAGTGTAGACATTGACTTGTTTGAGATGATATTCTCTGTGAACCAAGATAATTGAGCCCTTGCCCTGGATGAAAGGGATAGTAGGGCAGATCGGTGATGTGACTGAGGGGCATGTAAATAAGTCCCCCTTACCTTCAGGGTTCATGTGGAAAGCATCCTCAGTGTTCGCCTCCATAAATAGGAGAGCTCTTTAGCTGAAAGAGAAAATGATTCATTTTAGCTCAAAGATGACAGAACAGGAGATTCCATTTCTGGCTCACTCTGCAGTACGTAGCATGGCTGAACATTGGCACCTCAGTGACAGGCGCGAACAGCTCTAGTATTCTGGAATTAGTTTTTTGGCAACCTTATTTTGAAGTAATTTTAATCTTACAGAAAAGTCATAAAATTGTAAAAAAAAAAAAAAAAAACAAACAAACCCATATACCTTTGACCTGCATACACCAGCTGTTAACATTTTACCACATTTGATTTATAATCTTTCTTCTCTGCATATAAAATTACTTTTTTCCTAACTATTTGTGAATTAGTCACAGCCATGATGCATGTTTACCCCTAAATATTTCAGTGTGTTTTCCTAAGAACAAGGACAATTATCTTACATAAATGTAGTACAATGATTAACATCAGAAAATTAACGTCGATACGGTATTATTACCCAATCTACAGAGCTTACTCAAATTTTGCCAGTCATTCTAGTTGGGGTTAGATTTCATGAAATTGGTTTTGGAGACCTTAATGAAATCTATTAACAAATTCTGACACAGTCACAGATGAATTGGGAATTCTAGGTCTCGTATAAGAACTTTCAGACCTGGGACTGACTGGCCTTTATCTGGGAGGCATGAAGGGACAACTGCTAGAGTTATGGATCTAAGAAAAAACATGATTTCAGGACTTGAATGCAGATAGACCTGCATAGGTCTATGGCTTTTTTTTTTTTTTTCTTGAGACAGCATCTCATATTGTCTCCCAGGCTGGAGTACAGTGGTGCAATCAGAGGCTCATTGCAACCTTGACCTCCCCAGGATCAGGTGATTCTGCCACTTCAACCCCTGCCCCTCAACCCCACTCCAAGTAGCCGGGACTACAGACACATGTCATTACGCCTGGCTAATTTTTTTTGTATTTTTTGTAGTTATGGGGTTTTGCCACGTTGGCCAGGGTGGTCTTGAACTCCTGGCCTTAAGTGATCTGTCTGCCTTGGCCTCCCAAAGTGCTGGGATTACAGGCGTCAGCCACCGTGCCCAGCCCACAGCTACTTTTTAAAAAATAGGCTTCAACGTACATGAACAGCAATTCCTAGTTTAATGCTCAATTTTATCTTGCCCATTCCAAGCAAAGACAAATAATCTAACCAGAGTAGCAGACCAAACAATGCTTTCTCTAAGTATTCAAAATCCAGAATCTTCAATATCCCTCAAGGAAGCCAGTGCTGAATATTCTCCATGCTGACTCAATGGGCAGAGGAGGAGGTGACTGGCAGGAAGCTATGGATGGTCACCAGCAGCCTCATGCCATTGACACCCTCTTTGTCAACATTCCTGCTGTTGGCATAATCAATCAAGTGACTGGAAGTCTTTGCAGTCAAAGGCTCCCATATGACAAGAGCATCTGAGCACAAGAGAGCCAGCCCTGAGGCATTTAATAAGAAGGGGCCTGATGGATCCAGGGCCTGTGACACAGACATCTGGGGCGTGCTTCTTAGAAGCCACTCATTTTTCTCCATAGGGTATAGTGACACCAAATTTTCTGTTTAAAAAAATTTTAGATTCTAAGAATTGTTTTAGAACTTAAAGTTCTCTCTTTGATTAGAATTGTCTTGCTCTGCTCAGAACAAATCCTGTTCCATTATGTCATTTCCCAAATAAGATCCAGATTGGTTTTACAGTCTTGGCAGAAACCCTGAGGGGCCAGCGAGGGACTGGGGAACCAGGACAAGGGCTGTGCTGGGGGTGATGTCTGGGAGAGCAGACAGCAGCAGTGAGGGCTTCAGGGCAGGCGGGCATAAAGCGATGGTTTGTGCTGTTCAATGAATACTTATTGAATGATTGGCCCTGGGCCCACTTGATCCATTCACCTATTCACTCAGCATTAATGAAATGCTTGGCCCACCACTTAGCCCTTGTCATCTCTGCCCTGGCTCCCACATCTATTCTTTACCTGACTCCTATGCCTCCAGCTTCAAGTAGGGTTCTACCCAATGTAGGTAGAACATGGAGATGGGCATGCCAGGGTATCGATTTCCCTCCTTCGTTGACTGCCTCAGAGAGTGGGGCTAGCCATGGTTGTGTTTCTTCTACGGTAAGTCCTGTTAAGTAGTCATGACTCTGGCTATCACTGGGCCCTGGCAATTCCTCTATGCAGATGGGTGGGGGTGACAAAGTCCCTTGTTCTTCTAACTCTACCCCTGGGCAGGTGAAGAGTCTCTACATTCTCTTCAAAATCCTAGCTGTGACTGCCATCCTTTTTCTGTCTGACCTTGAATATGTATAAATTATGCCTGATGGCTCTGGACAAACAAGAAAGATGTAAAATTTTGAATATAATTCCTTACACAAGGCTATACCATGATGCGGTGGCGGGGAGACATAATTTAATAGAAGCTCCTAGAAGAAATAACTTACAGATTTTGTCTTTTATACACCTGAGTATTGTGTGTCAGTCAAAGAGCTATCTGATCTCTGGCTACATTATTTGAAGTATGGTATCCAGAACAGGGAAGGTGATAGTATTACTTAGTTCTATGATTCTACATTAGCTCCCACTTGGAGTCCTGTGCTCATTTCCCTGCTCCTCACTTTAGGAAAGAGATATGTTACTTATCTTCAAGTTCTGTCACATAGAGCAGAAGTTGAAAGAGTTTTTCTTCAAGAGCCAAATAGTAAATATTTTCAGCCTTGTCGGCTGAAATGTTCCAAGTATTCAGTTGCTGTAGAACAAAAGCAGCCATAGACAACATGTGCATAAATAAGCTTGACTGTGTTCCAATGAAACTTTATTTAGAGAAATAAATGGGCTGCATCTAGCCTGCAGGCATTACTTTGCTGATCTCTGATAGAAAAGTGCAAAATGAATTTATTCTAGAGGTGCCCAGAAGGCAGAGATTTGATCAATGTGTAAAAATCATGGGGTGGTTGATTTGTGATAATTTTAAGATCATTCTAGTGGTGATTGCTGTTCCCAAAGAGAATCGTCTGTTTCATGAGTTGGTGAGTTTCTTGTCATTACAGGGGTTCAAAGCAGAGACTGTTTTAGAAGAATTTCCTGCAGATCACGGAGAGTAAATTGGATGATGTGGGAGGTACACTGCCTCACATTTGAGTCTCTTCAGCATGGTACAGCACACACATGGTAAGTCTTCTCAGTTCTATGTTCCTAGAGGGAGGGGGCTGCGTCATATCCATCCTTGTATCCCACCCACTCCTGAAAGCCTAGTATAGTGCTTTAAATATGGTGAGTGTGACCAATACATTTTTTTGTCAATCTGATTCAAATCAAATCTTGCTGACACAGTAATTATACTAATTTGTCTTTAGTACAATAATCACTACCAGTCATGTTAAAATAATTCAATTACCTCTGATAAGCTTCAACATTTGAGGATTTTCACTGAAAATAATAGACAACATTTACCAAGTTCTTACAATATGCCAGCTGTCACGCTAAGAACTTTACATGCGACCCTGGAGGAGATCCAAGATGGCCGTTTAGGAACAGCTCAGGATCGCAGCTCCCAGTGAAAGCGCAGAGGGTGAGTGGACGCCGCGTTTTTATTGCCCACAGACTAGGAAATTCCCGGGCAGAGGTGCTCCACGGTCACCAGCGCGGCTGTTTCGGCCAGTGCGGCTGTGCCGGCCAGCGCCACCGCTTTGCCCCGCGTGGCTGCTTTGTCGGCGCCCCGGAGCTGAGGTTCTCCGTA